GAGCTGCCGGTGCCAGCGGCTGCCCTCAGTTCCCGCATCGCTTCACTTCGTTTCGCACTAGTCCGAGGGGATTTTTTTTCTTCCACTCTGTGGTTTTCTGAGAAGGTAACGGGAATGTTGGCCCGAGAAAAGGTGCTGTAGAAGCACTCTGCTCCCATCTAGATAAACCCGGGAGAATGATGGTCCTCGATGAGGGTCACAGAGGGAATGGGGATTGGAAGAATGGTGTGAACATTCTGTGTTGCCACTTAAAGTGGATATGAATGACTCATTGTACCAGAGATGCAGGTGTAACTGAGCCAGAAAATACCTTTTCCTCCAGGAAATCTGTGTGTGCTACTCTGAAGTTAAAAGCTGTGGTTTTACCAAGACAGCTGAAGCCCAGTCAGCTTTGTCCCTTACTGGGGGTTTCGTGGAATCACAATAAATTAATATATAAACCCGATTTCTTGTGCTTCTTTTATTTGGAAAATACAGGCCCTCTAGAAATCTCCAGGTTTTTCAATCACCTTAGGCCCTGATTCCTTGAAGAAAAAAAAAGAATGCCATTCTTAGGTGTGCAGGAAGTTATTTTCTGCACAACCAAAATGAAAGAGCAGCTTGTGCCTTTTACTATGAGAGATTTTCTGCACCTAATGTGACACAGAATTACAGGATGGTTCAGGTGGGAAGGGAACTTGAAGACCCCAGTGTTCCAAGCCCCCTGCCATGGGCAGGGACCCCTTCACTGGGCAGGGCAAGCCAGCTCTCCTCTCCTGCTCCCCCACCCCAAACCATGTTCATCCTCTTCCCGGGGTGATCATACCCCAGTATGACTTTCCAAACTCAATTATCTCCAACTAAATAATTTAAAGCCTAGTTCAAATTGAATTTCATTCTATCCCACTGGGAGGACTACAGAGAAAGATGGCTGAACAAGGAGGAGTTCTGAGAAATCCATTTGGCTTTTGAGCTGGTGAATGGTGTGCTATTGACAATAAATACTTTCCTAAGGACTTCTCCAAACATGGGTATGCCAGCAGGAATCTGCATTAAAAACTTACTGAAATTATAGAAGAGTTGAAGGATCACTTTTATATTTGAGGAAACTTTATGAAATCCAGAATTAATGTTCAAATTGGTTTCTGAACTTTAAAAAGTGCAGTCTGTATCAGTTATCTTGCCAATTGCCAGTAGGTGCTGGAAATGATTTCTTTTCAGCTCAACAACTGTAATGGTGACTTTTGCACTGTTTAGCCAATATGTTCATAAAGTTCTCTGCTATAGAAAGGGGCAAGGTGAGGAATCTCAATGAGATTGCCAGAAATTTTGTTTTACTGTTGTTACCTTGGTCCTGACCTGATTAACCACTCTACAAGTTATGGAGACTCTCATCCCATACTCTCAACTACTTAGACACAAGAAACAGGCTTATATGAATCAAAATATGGCAGAGTTTTGATGAAGTCAGATATTCATGGAAGTCTCAAGGTTTTTTCCATGGTATAAGTTGGTGGCATGTAAAAGTTCAGCCTTTAAGGATTTTCCTTTTGATTACATTTTCTGAATGGAAGATGGAAGAATTTTTCCTGAACTACACAATGTTATTGTGCCTTTTCCTGATGTCAGTGGCTTTGAGTGGGGACCCTGATCATCCTAATGCTGCTTTTGTTTTATGTTCCCCAATTCTGAAAACCTTCAAGCATGCAGCCAGGTGTCCTGCCAGCAGCTCTGCAGCAGCCAGTGGTGCTTTTGGCAGAATTGGGCTCTGCCCTTGTAAAAACTGAAGCAATCCAGTTTAGCAGCCAGGCAAGTGGGTAAAGGAAAGGCTGATGGCATGCAGACACCACAAGAAATGTATGGATTTGCCATGCAGGCTCAGCTTCCAGACTCAAGGTGTGACTGTGATATTTGGCAGCCTTCCATTTACAACAGATGGCCCAGCATTCTGCATGCCCCTACAAAATAAAGTTGTGCACACTTTTGTTTAATATTTTTTGTCTGTGCACACATTTCAAATACTCCCTGAAGAGAAACTCTTTGTTTTTACTAATTCTGTTTGATTTTTGTTAGACTACAGCCTCCTATTTTAAAATTTTTATCTCTCAGCAATTTAATGATCAGAATTCTTTTGATTTTCTGTAGGGAGGGATGCAGATCATCCTTTCAAGTGGAAGAAAACCTTAAAACTTGAAGGATCAGAATACCTGGGACATCTCCATTGACACATCAGAGCTTTCTGTAACAGAAGGGCAAGAATCTGTGCCATAAGGAGTGGGAGAAGGAAAACACTGAACTGTTACATGGCTGATGTAACAGAGACCATGACCATCTGCATAAATAGTGTCACATTTCCAGCTTTTGTGACAAAACTCTATCTGGCCTTTTCCTTTCTTCATGGAGAGGCATTCCCTGATTGAACCTCTGTCTAACATCCACAAATGGGTGTTTATGTAGAAATAAGCAGATTTCCAGTTCTCTGTGCTTCAAAATAAGATATTGAAATGTGAAGCTGGAAGAAACAGGCTCACAGTGGCACAGCATTTAAAATTACTGTTTTATTTCTCTCCACACGTGCTAGCTATCAAAAAAAACAAAAGTCTCTGAAAAATCTGCCTGGAAGCTTTAAATCAGAGCAATATTGGATCTTTGTGTATCCACAGCAGTCCAGCTGACTTGGTAGACACTGGCCTGGCTCCCAGACCAAAGCTCCTGGGGCTCTCTGGCAGCAACACAGAGCCATAAACACCAGCTGCAATATATCTATCGAAATGAAATATCAGCAGTTTTGCACAATTGGCATTTCAGCAATGCAGGGTTTATTTAACTGGTTCCAGTGGTTTACCTTTGCACCTGAATCACAATTTCTGCATTTCTGAAGGTGCTGTTGTGGAATCTCACAAAAGCTGTTTTGCCTGGCATGCCTTTGCTGCTGTCCCTGATATGTGTGAGCAACACAAATTGCTCACCTCCTTGCTTGCTCCCTAATACCTGCCTGGTATTGTAGCAGCAATGGTGGAAAAGATATGAGAAATACTGCTGAGCCAAGCTGTGTGCAGGCAGGCAGAGTGCAGCCTTGCTTCCTCCTCGTGTCCTAAGAATGAAGTGGCAGATTGGGAGTTTTAACAAATCACAGATGCCACGAAGACTCTAATGTGTGTGATTGAAAGGATCGTGTTATTAGCTGTGCCAGTGTCTGCCAAAGTAATTTCACAGTTGTGCTTCTGCCTCGTGAACCCCAGGACAGTGGTTTT